ACCACTGGTGGAGTCAATGTCATTGCCGCTGTGGTTTCTATTTACTATGTTGATAAATTGGGAATGAGACTCTTGTTTCTTGAAGGGGGAGTTCAAATGCTCTTTTGCCAAGTAACTTCATTTCATCTTCTTGGACTTTTTCATCGTGAAATTTTCATATGTGCTATTACATGACCCGTTTTATTTGACATATCATAAGAAAGAATTCTACTTAAAATGATTCTATTTCATCGTAGTTAGCCAAACATATTATGATCCATAAGAATAACTGAAATCTTGATACTATGTATATAGTTGAGTAAAAACTATGAGGTATTTTCAGGACACCATTAATTTGTGTCTGAAATACCAACATTGATTGATGAATCGAACCTAGAAATCTCAAGCTCAAGTTGATGTGGAATTTACGGCAAATAAATAAATAAATAGAAGAAGCAAGTTATGTTACAATTGTTGTTTGGTTAAAGGTTGTACCTTTACCTTCTATATTTGTACTCATCTTGATCAAATACTACTTTATTAACTCAATTAACTTATCCAAACTCATAAAAAGAAGGAATTTTAGCTTAGAACTAAATTATAAGAACTGAATATGAAAGAAGAGAAGCTTGGTAGAGCTTGCTCCAATCCAGTTTCAGAGATGCAGGAGTCCAAGGCAACTGTCGGGCCATTTGAGTGCACACAAGATGCATTGGACAAGATGCCATTTGAGTGCATACAAACTAATAAGGGTGGAACAACACTTTTGAAGTACTACTGATGAATTTATTCAGGCTAATAGGTTTTTTTGTTTCAAGTTTGAATGATGAATGATAGACACAAGTGATAAATCTATTCATTTTTCTAGGAGCAAAATGTAGACAAAACACATTGTTTGTGCTCCTTTTTTTTTTGGTGAATTTCAAAGTTAATTTTCACTTAGATGTATACAAATGGTAGTGATGGGGCTACTGGTTCTTACCTATGAAGCTATGGTTGCAATGAATTTTATGGGAAGAGTTAGGCACGTGTAATTTTGAAGATTATTGCCTTACCTTAAAAAGAATGCATGTGCTTTTATATATTTTTTATGTGTGATTTTAGACATCTATCATAGCAAACATACAAGGAACTAAAAGTCAAGTCCTGACCTATTTGAGGAATGAATGACAGTATCATTGCTGGTGCAAAATATTAATATTACTTGGCTAAAAATGTTGGGGGCCGTGCTGGCACGGGGTCCCATATCTAGTGTATAATATATGTTACAATAATTTAAAAAGTGGCAAACTAGAATTCGTTAATACTAGAAAAATGTGACATGGATTAATATTTATTAGTCCCTCAAAAGTAGATATATATGGGACCTAGGCCTTAAATGTACTTGTGTAACGACGTACTTTAGGTCGTTTTGAGTACTAGAGCTTTTTATTGCATAAAAGACTCTTTTGATAGATTTTAAATGAGTATTTTGAACTATTCGTAACTATAATTATAAAATTAATGGGATAGTTTTAATAATTTATTTAATTGATGGTTAAAGAAATAAGATTAGAATTAGTAGTGGGTGACTTTTACCATTATTTTTATGATTAGTCAGGTGAGATAGAAAATATTATTTTGACTTTAGATGGTTGTCCTTTTTAATATTTTAAGTTTAATGCAATGTTTGATCGGTGGGAGGTTTCATTACTTAATTATTATGTTATTGATTTATGTCAGATTTGTTTTATTTTTATTACAATAATGTTGGGTGGAAAGGAAATTAGATGAATTGAGTTGGAAAAGTTAGAAACAAACACACACGGTGTAGTTGAACCATAATGGTTTGGATATGAATTGAAGGTGGGCTAATTTAACGGATTGATGGTTGACTTTTGGGAGACTAATTGGTGTCTTCCGTTATTAGCCGTGAGGTGCTATTAACTAGAAAGAAATTGACAATTGAATCCACTGATTTTGTACCAGATGTTTCAATTTTATTATCGTATTATAAGTCAAGTCCTGATATATTGAGATAGGTAATTAAATGTATTAATTGAATATCCTTAAAGTTATTGATAATGGGAGGAATTAAGACTTACCCTTAGGCTTGAACTTTAGGAAATTGATTATAGATTGGGTGAGTTTTTGAGTCTAGGATAGACATAGAGTAGTATGAATGTCTATACATTCGTTAACTTACAAATTATGCATACGTGATAGTTTGAGAACATTCGGAGGCCTTGAGGAAAGGAAAAGAGTTGGAGAAGTCGCTTGCCAGACTTCAGCTCTTCGGTGGAGGTAGGTTATGGTTTATTCTATTTGATAGATAGACTCTTAATAGTGATTGATATGCATTGAATGATATTGTGAAGTTCTCTATGTACTTGATTGTGT